GGCATTTCAACGGGGCAGCACTATATTCTCATTTGTGAAAGCAAAAGTATAAAACCAGCATACCATGCAGGAATGAATTAGAAAAAGCTATTCAGGGAAGTCAAACTTGCATGCAGAATTTATTAGATGGCTAAAACAAATGAAGTCTTCTCCTAATATCTTTCAAATTTCAAGCTTTTGCTAGTCTTAGCTACAGGGCAACAAATTATGTACAACATTACTACAATATCCTTAATACCCCCCTTTTTTTTTAACTAAATCTAAAGCAAAATTAAAAATTCTTAAAGTTCTTTCTACCGTATCAGGTTTTTGTTATGAAATTCACAGCACGCAAAGTTTTTGGGTTAAAAATTAAGACATCCTTCAGTTTATTGTAAGAATTTGAAAATAAGCGACAACAGAAATTTACAGCTACGCTTATAGGAAAGGAATTAGAAATTTACCTTAACTAATAAAGAATCCCCACCTCATCACACTTCCTGAAGGTAATCCTTCGGAAAGAAATGCTTTTAACTTATCCAACTGAAAAATAAAACATTCTGCCAATACTGTTGCCCCTTCATTATTTTCTCTCCTGTTATATAGAGAAAATCTGTTGTATATAGGAATGACTAAAAATAGAAATACCATTAAATAATATCTCTAGTAACAGGGAGTAAACAGAAGGACACTTAGACAGTACTTACATACCAAGCATCACTATAAAGAACGCTCCTTTTTTGTAAAAATCATGCATTATACAGCACATTAAACTGGATGAAACACTAGAATGTCATTTTCTGCTGCTGCTTCGTTAAGGAATACAGCATTTGGAAGAAGAAAGTCTGAGTAAAATCCTTGCACGTTAGCTGGACTACCATGGAAAAGACTAATTTCTTTAGCAAAGCAAGCAATTCAGTGTAACCACAAAATGCTTGTACTGTGGGTTTTTTATCACAGATATTTTTGTTTAACCATTGGGTCACAAGCATTTGTTGTAACTGTTTGCATTACATCTTCATACAAAGTTTTGCTGATATTTTTATTGGCATACTATGTTTCAAGACACTGAACATAAAGAAGAGTATCACGCTCCATGATGCTTACAGTGAACAGTTTATTATTTGATTCTTTTATTCAATGATATTTTCTTCATAAAAAACAAAGATGGCTAAAATGATCTTCAAGGTGAAAATCAAATCTTACTTCCCCAGATTTCTTTCCACTATTTATCTTATTCTTAAATCCTCTACCTTCTGCTATACAGTTTAATAATCTGTTGTTTTATAAACAGTGTCTGTAATCTGTTTTAATCTTTTGCCCCTAAAAAGAAAATAATGCTTAAGGTTTTTCCCAGTCTCATCCTTCGTCACAGCTGATCCTGAAGGAAGCCGTCATCAGCGCAGGTTTTCCCCTTTTTCTCTGTGATCTAGAATTTAGTTGCAACTTGGTGAGGCTGTTTTTATTGCACTACAAGTAAAGCAAAATACAAGTTCTTACAGAGTTAAATTGCTTATTTTCCTCTGAAAACAGCCAGTATTTCTTATTGTACTGCCCTAGTTAACACATCTTCTAAGCACTTTGTTTGCTGCTCCTACTTTTACTCTCCTAGCAGTGCCTTGCACTTAAACCTTACCAGCCCTTCAGGCCAAAGTAAATTCACCCAGTAAAACCTTAACTCAAGAAGACTTAATCAATCACGTTCAGCAAATGCCTCAACCTCTTGGGCAGTTTTCAGGTATTTGCACAATTGTTCTCATTCTGATTTTTACTACTCTATTATTTGTTAAGCATAGCTGTTTTCTCTCTGTTCTTTGTGAAAGTGTTTAGAGGCGAGGGTGTATGCTTTGCTTCCTTTATTTCACAGTTTCACTAATTCAGACTTATTCAGCCTTCCGAACAGCTTGCTGGAAACAGACTATATAGTCGTAGCAGCAACTATGATATGGCTGAAGGACAGTAACATCAGTTAATCCAGCATTTTTCAGGCCAGTTTGGTATTTTTGCTTTAACATTTGAGACTTTGTAGCTCTGCAAAATTGGTTTGGTTTTGGATTCTTTTTTTGTTTTTTTCATTTGACCTGAAGAATGGCAAAATTAGTTTCTAACTTCAGGTCCCCCAAACAGCAAGAATTATCCAAACTTTCCTCTAATATTAAATGGCTTATTAGGCTTCGGCAATTTGGACTCTGAATTTATGTTACAGATCATCTTGTTGTGAAAACTGTGTTCTATTAATGTCTTTATTTTTCATCCTTTCCTTACTACATTTTAAAATTGCTCAACTACAACACTGCAACATCTATTATTAAACAGGATGAAATGCTTGGGAACACTATCAAAGACTGATGGTAATTGTCCAATGCATAAAGCTGCTACAAAATACACAAAAATGACCATTATAAAATTGGTTGTTTGTTGACTCCCATCTACTTTAAGTCATAAGATAATTATTCCTTAATATGGAAAAACATTAATTATCTCTTATATAGCATGGTTTTATTTGTGTTTGAATTACCTTAAAAAAATATATTACTGCCATTGATATTCATCTACTCTAAGGATTTTGACATTATAAAATCAATATGGCTACATTATTTACTTTAATTAAGCTCAATGATTTTTTTTGTTTAAATAATGATACTTTCCCCATATCATACAGCTAAATGTAAAGATATTAAAGACTGAAAAACCTAAAATCACTATTATAGGCAAGAACCAAATGTACTAACAAAATTAAACAACCTTCTACTGAAACATTATTTTCTACCCATCACAATCTTCAAATTCCATTATCATAGTGACAAATTATACACACAGTTTGACAGGGAGCATCACTGACTAATACTACATTGCAGTTGTCTTCAGACAAGATGGAGGCAGCAACTAAGTAAAACTACAGCTGCCCCAGCAGAGGAAGTGCAATACAAAGAATTTGAAAAACACTGATTCCAGACCAAATTAGAACAGTTAAGTAGAAGCCAGAAATAAGATCTTTTCCTCAGAAAAGGAGTCAAAAGAAAAGGGTAAAAAGTATTTGCCTGAAATTTGAATTCTATTGTAGGTGTCTCATCCTACATAAAGACAGTTAGTATAAAGGCAAATTAGTAATTAAAGAGACCTGGACATCTGTATAAAGAAAGGAGTATCTAGAAAATATATTCAGCTAGAAGAGTTTATTCAACGCTTCTTAGAACATGTAGAAGCCTTGGTTATTTCCAGCAGAGGAAAACAGATGTACTGCTCAGGACCTCAAAGAATAATCCCAAACCCTTAATGACACTGTAACTCAGTATGCTATACTTAATTCTTATGTATGTCCCCTTACACAAGCTCTGCACTTTTTCTTCTGTTCTGCAGTGCACAATCCAGAGCATCTTTTGCAAAGGAAGACAAGAGAACCACCCATCCTTACTGAACTCTGGCAAATAACAAATAAACTGTCAAAGTTATCACAATGAAGAGAGGGGAGGTCAATAAGCTGTAGGATTCCCTTTAGAAGGAGACATAAGGACAGTGCAGCTCAATGTGATCCCTAAGGCCTGAAGACTGCTTCATTCTTCCTTTTGGAGGCTCAAAACACACCTATACACCATGTCCAGAAACCAAGCGTAACACAAACATACACAGGGTATGCACATTAGTACTTCAGACATATTGGGGTTTTGTGAACTACCAGGTCATCTTGAACATGACCCTTCAGTCATATTATTCAGCAAATAATAATTACATCAGACATTTGACTAAATTTATTCTGCATCACATGGAAGTTTGAGTTGTGTGGTTTTTACACTATTTGCTGCATAGTAGTTAGAGAAGGAACACAAGGTTTCAAGTTTTGCCCATATAAAAAGTCTTTTTCTTATTACAATTTCTAATACTGATTATAAACTCAATCCTAATGTGCTCGAGATCTTTTTAGTAAATAAATAAATTCTGAAGATCTACTTTCTCTAGTTGTCTTCTGCTTTCAGAGACTGACAAAGTGCAATGTGAACAGGTCTAAATTACATGTTTTTCATATTTCCTGCTTAATATTCTACCATATATTCAAAAATCAAGTCTCTCTTCTGATCTTTGGTAACCTTTAAAAATGAGTTCTGAGTAACTTTCCTCATACAGCATGTGTCACCACAAGTTTCCTTGTCTAGCCAGTGTCTATTAGCATTCACTAAGTACCCAAATCACTAGGTCATTTAAATACCACCTACTACTTTCTTTCGCAAGATAATCTCACGTAATATAGAAAAATTTCCCTCAACTGAAAAAGATATAATTTCTTTTTATCATTTTATAATGGCATAAAAGTGGTGGTAAAAGTCAGCACAAGATGCAAGTTAATGGCATGGGATGCACTACACAGCCACGCTGAGTCACCTTGCTTTGAGTGAGAACACAGAGCAGATCTAAGAAGGGCTCTCACAGGGTAATTCTGGTCCCTGCAAAAGGCTTTAAGTCATCTGGCTGGGCAGAAGGCAGTTTATATTATCAGGGAATGAGAAAGACAACCCATTTTCCAATTTCACTATGTTTATTTTTCCCCAGTGTATTGACAGCACAGTTTTTTGATACTGTGTTCCTGAAGGGTTTTGTTTCTTTCTGGAATGTGTTTAATTGTGATGATCCGAGAAAACATGCCTTCTTTTCTTAAAAGTATCAGAATCATCTCAAAGCAAAACATAAAAGCATGTCATATTTCCCCAGCCTTAAAGCGAAGCATCCTTATACTGAAAGAAGGTGAGAAAGCTTATGTTTATTACAGTTCAGCACTGCCTTTTAAAGGTGTTTCCTGCATCTATATCTAAAACAGGCAAAAAAATTAACATATCCTAAAATATTACTCTGTTCTGAGGAATAATTCAATCCAGGATGAGACATTTTAAAGATGCTAGAGCATTACAAAAAAATACCTAAACTTCATTTTGGGATGCCGCTCTGCAGGCTTACTCTTACTGCTGCAGTATTAATTGTATTTCAGATGTGATTTCTGGAAATGGAAAGACTTGCATACAAATACTTACTGCAGGTATCAGTAACTTTTTTACTTCTTCAACAGCTCTCTTCAGTTTTATTTCTGCTCTGTTCTGAGCATCCTCCACAGTGATAAGTACATGTAAATCTTCATTCAGATGTTCCCAGTTGGGCTTGCCTCGGTTCTGTTCTTCCTAAAAAAAAAATTTAAACAGGGAAGCTATGAAGCATTGTTACGTTCTGTATAAAACAATTACAAAACAGTAGACAAACTCAATTCTGTGAGTAGTAGGAACTGTATTGTCAGTGAGATGGAAAAAGACTTCTTTGTACTGGAGACTTTTGTTTTATATGATTACTTAACAAGAACTTAGGCTTCAAAATATCCTTTTGGGGATTTTGTTTGTGTTTTGCACCCTCATAAAGACTACGAAACAGATGTGATTTCTTAAGAGTACCTTTCCCAACCAAACAAAGGAACAAGAACAAGAAGCACTACAAACACTGTACTGCTTTCGATATTCTTTGGAGCTTTTCAAGGGTTAGACAGATAAATCATACTGGTGGTTAAGCAAATTAGTATTTTCAAGGAAACTGAAACAGACACTATACATACGAACTCCACCTGATTCACTCAAGAGATTCAAGAAGAGAGAGCAATTCTTCAGTGTTAACAATTGCTTTTACATACTTATGAAGAAAAGGTTCAAGAATCAAACATTACAAAAAGAATAGTAGTTGCAATCTTCAAAGCAGAGCTGTGTGTATGCAATGAAAGGCAGAGAGAAGGAGATGACAAGGCTTTAATATTGAAGTCACAGAAGAGCATGTAGCAAGATGGTCACCGTTACACAGGTACTGTTACACCAATGACATTAATAATCCCAAAGACAAATCTCAGTAATGTTTTCAAAAAGGGAGGGCATGCTAAACAAAACTTTTTAAAATGTAAACACTTTTAAACAACAGATATAATTAAATTTAAGTAACAGATTCAAGTATCCAGTCTTTCAAAAAATAAAGATAATAAATACAACACAGAAGAAACTTTCCAACTCCATTTTAATTAAACAATGACTAAAGCTAGCAAAATTTCCCAGAAACATAGTTTAAATTTGACAATATCTAAAATGTAATCAAGTAAGAAAATGGGGGCAGAGGAGGCACACAGGAAAGAATTGAAACTTTACTGAATGAGAAAGGATTACTATAACTTTTGAATCTAAATAAAGGCCTGCTTAAACAAAACCACTTATTTAAAATCCTGGGTGTAATTAAAGAGCCTCCTATTCGTAAGATAAACACTTGTGGCTTAACCACAATTCACATTTAAAAAAAAAAAAATTAAGGCAAGCAAAGCTAATTGTAAATGTGTCTTTTTCCCAAAATTTCATTAAAATTCTTCCAGGATATCAGACATGCAAAGGAAATGTTTGAAGATTTAATACCAACAAATACTTGCAGTACTTCATATTCATATATACCTGAGGGAGCACTGTTCCTTAGAATGTTCTGTCTTTAATTCAGCTGCTTTAAGTCTGAAATGTTTTGTGGAGTAGACAAGGATAAAAATGGGGAAAAAAAATAGAGTAATGAGAGATGTGTATAAAATTTAGGTAAAAGAATCCGTACTTTGACGGAAATATCTTTTCACAATTCTTCAGGTAACATGTGGACAGCTGCATTACTCCATAGTATCAGCTACCATGATTTTTTTTTTTTTCATGTTATCTTAGCCAACTTCCCAAACAAGGGTAGCTGTGAAAATATCTCTGTGAATTTCAGAAGCTGAAGAAAGAAGAAATAAAACACCTCATTTATAAAACAGAACCTGATGCAAAGTGTAGCTGAGTTATAACACATTCTCTGCTGTAATTTAATCTTCGAAAGAACTATCTACCTCAAGGTACTTGCAGCTTATTTCACTCAATCATGATCAAAACTCCACTATTACTATTTAAACAATTCAATTTATTATTTTTTTTTATTCCAAAGCAGGGGTGAGTTGTTTTCTTTTAAGATGGTGATGAGCTATATTAATATGAGGTAGTACAGAGTATTATGTTGCAGGTATGATGAATAAGAGAAGGTTCCTAAGCCAGCAGAGGGCAGAGCAAGGAACATGCTGCTACCTCTTCTTGTACTGACTGGTGGTGAGCTGACACAATGCTGGAATGGGAAAGGTACTGGTTACTAACACATAAGATACATGATAACCTGTACAACTATAGTACCCCAGAGAAGAAAAAAAATAAAAAAAGGCAAGAGGGATAAATGACAAGGAAAGATGTCCCCAACTAAAATGGCAAGTTCTGCTCCTAAAAGAGAAGGAATGCCTAAATCCAGTTTTAGTTACCATGCAACTAAATGGCATGCCTCTATGTTGTCTGGACACAAACATAAAAGGGCATTACTGCACTGCATCTATTTCTTTCATAACGAAAATGATATGCTGCAAAGTCTCAAAATCTTGGTAGAGTTGGAGGAGTTGCTACCTTTCAGCAATGAAAAATAAAATGCACATTGTTATAGTGGATGTACGCCTGATTTGTAACCTTCAGAATACAAAAAAAATTACTTTATTATATAAAACAAGGTAGCCTGCCTATCTGTTATTCAGTTTTTAAGTACTTCAGATTAACATAATCTCAACTATTCTACTTCAAATTATTGTGTTGCAGAATGAGCGTTTTTTGTTCAGTTTTAGTTTGTTTGGTTTTGTTTTTTTTTTTTAAAAAAAGCTGCACATAGGACAATAAATAGATGATACTGTAGGGTTTTTTTCCCCCCAGAAAGTTATAGACCCCCTAATTTACTTTTAGATGGAACACATTGCGTGTAAGGTCAATAATCTCACAAACTGTTAAGGTCAGACCTCACAGCACAAACAAACATACCAATACTTATCAGTATAGTAAGTGAACTAGTATATGACTATTTCTATATATACTCTTCTGTGGTCATGAGGTGTTCTAGTACGCTGATAAAGGTCTTATTGTTATGGAGAGTACTATTTCTTAAGTCAGTGGATAAGACTGAAAGAAAGCTTAAGAAGAATAAAAGTCCACACAATATGTTTTGAAAAAACAATTAGTCAAAACAAAAAAAAAAAGATAATAGAGCTTGGAAAGGGCTTAGAATTCCTCCACTGCTTCCATGCTGTCCCATGAGGTTGCTTTCTTAGTGGGTTAACAGTTTTCCAAGAAATGTCTTTTGGTTTATTGAAAATGCTAGTGGAATGTTATACCAATATGTATGTTTGAATATTTATTTTTTTGTTTTTACCAAAAGCAGGAAATCCAGATCTACACTAGGTCATTCATTCAAATGGAAAGATAAAAAATGAATGACAGGGCTAGGGTCATGGGAAGAGAGATAACCTGCAATCTCTTGCAGTTAAGAGCTGCAATTTTTTGTGCTACCTCACCCTCCTTTTAAATCCTGAAAGGATGGTTTTCCCCTACATAAAATCTTTACTTAAACTGGTCCTCTGTGCAACAAGTCTTGAAAATGACTTTTCTCAACCCTGTTTTATTATAGAAAATGCTCAACAGGTAAATTGAATATATATGGAATTCAAGTGGAAGGTGTCTTTCTTAAGACTCATGAAATATGGTCCAAGACTTTAAGGGTTGGTTAGGGTTTTCTTCTGAAATTGTTTGGGGAGAAAATGGTGAAAAGATGGGCAGGAGAGAAGGACTACAACTTGCCCTGCTGCATAACTTTGTAGAAAGAAACTATAAACTGTAGCTATCTTGAAGCGACTTGCAGCTAAGACAAGCCAGGTTACTTCATAGAACCAAAGAATGGCTGAGGTGGGAAGGGACCCTGGACATCAATCAACCAGTCCAACCTCCCACTCAGGGCAGGGTCAACCCTCAGGGCAGGGTTGCTGAGGGCCAGGTTTTAAACATCTCCAAGCATGGAGACTCCACAACCTCTCCAGGCAACCTGTTCAGTGCTCAGTTGCAATTAAAAAAAAAAAAAGCTGTTTCTTATGTTTAAATGTAATTTCTTTCATTTTGATGTGCCTATTGCCTCTTGTCCTTCAGTAGCAACTGTTGAGCAATTCAGCCTGATTGCCAGGTCTACCTACAGAAAAAACAGTGAGGGGTAACAGAAATTGCCATGAGAGTTATTTTGGGCAAAACCCACTTGTTACCACAGCAGGAAGGGCATGTGCACAGAAGAAAAACAGCACCAAGAAAACCAGAAAACCTGAATAAAAGATTCGGGAAAAAGAAATTCAATTGCGTATATTGAAAATTACGTAACATACACAAGAAGTAATTTACAGCATGAAGTTTTCCTGCATGCCAGAGACTGTTTATGGAAGAATTATACAGGAAAAATGGAGGCAGTGAAGATGCAGGAAATTACAGAGTAAAATGATTTATGCTACAACCTTGGGGAACAACAATATTAGAAAAGCTTAATTACAACCAAACTATCTTGTCTGCTAAATTAAAGAACATTAAGAGCAACATAAATGGAAGATGAAATTTCACTGTGCTCCTTGTTTGGCAGAAATTTCACTATCCTTAAATATAGCCTAATTCTGTAAACAGATTTTGCTTTCATTCTGCTGCCTGTGCGCATACGCTCATTATTCTCAGGGTACCTATACACAATAATGGACCTGAAGAAACTGCCCAATATTTATCTTGCTGTTAAGGTCAATGTATCAGGTAGTTTAAAAAAAAAAAAATCTTACTACAACTCCTCGAAGTTTAGTTGCACAAAAATAAAAGAAAAAGTAACATAATGACAGTATTTTTTTGTTGTTGTTTTTGTGGGCAGGGATTTAGAGGGGAACAAAAAGCAGGCAAAGGATGCAACTGACTTGCATCTATACAGCCAAGCTTTAACAGTAGAAAAGTTGTTCCATTACTAGAAATACTGAAGTCCAGCTTCCCATTGATTTGTGTCCTGCGTTTTCCATACACCTCACCCTACCACAGTAATTCCAAGTCATGGTCTTATACCTCCTGTATCCCAGTCCTTTAAGGCTATTTCTACTTACATCTTCATATCCCATCCCAAAGCTTCCTACTTAATACCTCGACTATTGACTTAACAAGAAAGAGACAGCAGCTTACTAGCTTTCTGTGCGCTACGCAAAGCAGATGACTGAAAACTCAGTACATCTCTTCCCTTGACTAGAAGTATTGTTATGCCTCTCCTACCTAGCCAG